AAATCACCTTCACCAGAACCGCTCTGCTGCTTTCCACCAGGATCCTTTGGAGTACTTCCTCCAGCAACCGGCTCACGGATAAATTTCCCAGATGGAACACACTCCTTCCATCCCCATGTAAACACTTCCCCTACCTCTGTTCACAAAGACAGGAAGATAAATTATAAACGCGCTCATTAAAGAGGAAGCTAAATGAAGCCAGAACCGTGCATCCCTAGATATAGATCATCGGAGCTGGTTTGCTTTTACATTCTCAAGCAATCCATCTCATTCCTAAGAATTAAGTCAATATTGGTCAAAGAAACAGCCACCAATCACAGTCACCGAACTGAACACTGAACCCAAGAAGTAGTACCTGTGACAGCAGCACAATGAGCCCAACCTGCCGAAGCCATGACAACTGGAGCCTCCGTTGGGAGAGGAAACGGCTCTGGAGTTTCCTTAACCATCGTATCATCGAAAGACGATAAGGGATCAATTCGTAGCAAAAGACATAAGAAATAGCATTCTCTAAACTAGACTATAACTACATTACCCCATGCTTTCCAGAGGCCACATAGGTTTGCCCTTCATCATCCGCTGAACCCCACGTTATCAGCTTCCCAGAATCTAAGAGGGGAACAGAACAACGTCAGTGATTCAGGCATATAATCTCAGCAAAGGCATCGAATTCGTCTACAAGCAAGATTAGCCGAAACACTATAAATCAGAAAACTACATTTGGAGCAACACGACGTAATCCGTCCAAACCCGAATCTGACATAGAAATAAAAAGGAAAGGGAAATACGAATCGGCCAACTGCATCAAGGAGAGCTGTGTTGTGCTTAGGAGCTGAAGGAGATCTACAACTAGAGAGACGTATCAGAGAAGCAGCGAAGTAGATGACGAACCGACCTGAAATAGCCATGGCGAATCCGCAACCGCCGCCGCAGACGTCTTTCCATGAATCTCCACCGTGCACCGCCGATGTTAACAGGACGGGGACCGGAGACAGAATCGGCGATTTGTCCGGCGAAGCACCCGGTAAATAGCCGGACATATAAACCACGGCTTCCGTACATTCCTCCATCGGAACTCCTCCTCCATTGTTCCCGTTCATGGCGGAGATTCTCCCAGAGCTACAAACACACACAAGCCACAAAATCCAAACAGACAAAAAAGAAAAAAACGATCCACCAACAATAAATTCAAAGGAAAAAAAATCCCTAGCCACACGATTCGATCTCCTCCTGTAATCCGCAATTCACACTTTCTCAGGAAAATTGGCGTTTTCCGTTCGAGAAAAAGAAAAACCGGAACTCAGAGAGAGAAAAAGGAAACGGGAGAAAATCAGACTCAGACGAACGAGTTGACTCGCGAGACAAATTTTTGGGGGGCGTATCAATTACAGGGATTTAGGGCGTGCCATGTAGGACGCCACGTAACCGTAAGGACACGTGGCATGATCTGCACCGCGTTTCTTTTAAACCTTGAGTTCTCAGGAACTTTCTGGAAGCAACTCCCACCCTCGCTATTCGAGTCCTTACTCATTGGGTGCCACGTGGTGGGGACTAACCTTCCAAATATTCTTTTTTTTTTAATTCCATGCGTAATCACTTTCATAAACTAATCGGCCCCTTAATTAATTAAAATATTTATTACTCAAATCAGATTTTGCTTTTGTTTCTGCCGGAAAATTAATATTCGGCATGTAAGATAAATAATTTAAACTATCGAAATAGAATATATCTTGTTTTACCAAAAAAAATAGAATATATATTGATTATGTAAAATAAACCACTGATTCGTATGGGTGAATAATGATAATAAATAAAACAGAGGACTTTTGGTAAGTGAGACGTGCAGAATTGGTATACGTTGGATTATGAACCCACGAAATGGACGGCTCAGATCAGTGCCACGTTTACTAGAAATCTCCATCGGACCAAAATTTCCTTTGTGACTAAGATCATGCAGAATCAGTATTTTATTTTATTAATTAGGCTTATGATTTGGCAATTTGACTTAAAGGAAAAATCATATTATATAATGTATGTTTATATATGCACATCTACATTCTACGTGATAATTAAGTTTGCAAGTTATTTTAATTAAATAAATAGGGTATTTGTCGTTATAATAATCTTAGAAATTCCATTACTGTTATGGACCCACTTTTGATCATATCATGGGCCTAGATGTTGTTACCAGTATTTTTATGGGATGTTATTAGATTTGGGCCTAATCATAAATTGTTTTATTTTTATTATTATTATTATTGTTAATATATATGTATATATATATATATATATATAGTTTCAAAGAGATGAGAGAGATTGTTTGGGATTGAGTTTTTTTTTTAAATTTTATTTCGTATTTTACCATTCTACCCTTACAGATTTTAACTAATTTTTTATATAGTCATACATATTTATGTACGTATATTATCAGTGTACATATATGCATGTGTATATGTATAGAAATGTGTATTCGAATATACATGCATATGTAAATACGTATATATATGTGTATATATATGTACATATATAAGCTAATACAACATATATATTGTGCAATATGATGTTTCGTTTTGGTGAAATATTATAATTTCTAGAACTTCCGAATTTTTTTATTAATTAATATTTGCTGATTTTGATGATGCGGGCGATGATTAGGTTGTCACCTAACAATTTTATAATTCATACATTTAATTATTATTCTATTTCGAAGCTTGACTATTGTCCACAGGACAAAGGCGTCTTATTCATAGAGGTCATTGACTACTAGAGGTATACTAAGACCAATATTCAAGAATAACATATATTATACTCGAAAGAATTTATTTCAATTCAGTTATACACAAACATATATATATGCTTTCTTGCAATTTCTTATATTTGTGATTGCGGTGACTTGTCCTCTTTATTACGTTTCTAACCTTCCATCCTTTGAAAATAGTTTTAATATATTGTTTTAAATAAAACTTTAAAGGAATCTAAATTTATATTGTGTATTAAATATTATGGATGGGAATTATTGATTTTCAGTTTATGTTTATTTAAAGGACAATATACAATTTAATCTCTCTCTCCCTCACACACACACACACATATGTATATATATTTATATCATTGTTCATTGTTTATATATTTAAGTATATAACAGAATTTTAAATATAGATTAAAAATAAAAAATAATATGTATTTCATGATAAAATCAGGATTATATATGTATATATATCTCATTGACGTTAGATCTAAGATTCCATGACTCGTCGTAAAATGATGGCTAAAATAATGTTCACGACAATATTGTACATATTATAGAGTATTGGTGAGCAGTTTTTTAAGTTGAATCATATTTTCTAAGAATCTATTATAAATTATTAGGAATTATGGATGATTTAAGATATTACATATGTTTATTATTTCATACGATTTTTTTATTATTTTATAAGTTATATTTTGTATGAAATTATTAGAAATATATATATATATATATATAGACTCATGCGGTTCGATCGGTATGATGGTGGCTATAGTTTACGTTAGTAAATATTACGTGCCATATTTACTAACCATCAACTTGTCTTTTTAAAGTCACGAGTATTCATATCTTGGAAATCAATTTATAAAAGGACATAATTTTCAGCTCATCAAGCATTTCATATTTCTTTATCGGATCCGAATCTTCCCTTTAAAACATATAGGGATTGCACGAATTACAATTGATCAAAATGGAATAAAAGCACAACACACATCACATTATATAATTAGATTTTAAGGAATGAAATTTCTCTAATTAATATATATATATATATATTATTAGGAGTTAGTGATAATATAAAAACAAGTTGTTCCTTAATTATTTAATTTTTTTTTCATCTCAACTCAAGGTCCTCAACTTCAACCCAATAAGGGGTATTTGCATGTTCAAGATTGTAGCTTCAATTTTTAAAAAATAAAAACAAAAACTGTAGCTTCACGTGAATTTTGAAAAAATTGAAAATTAAGTAACACGAATTCGTGACCACTTGGAGCAAAAATACAGAAAGTTTCAGTCATCTAACCCTTACAAAATTCCAAATTACGGATCATATAATATGCAATACGCTCCTTGTTTTCCTTCACAAAGACCCATCTCCCATCCAATTAATTATTCAAACAAATCATATAATCGATTACAACACCTCATTTAAATTTTTGTTTATTGTTGGAGTGCATCTTGACCTCCATTATTATCCCATTTCCTTGATCTTCTCCTTAACCCGCCTCCTAATATTATTTCTTTCTAGGGTTCCTAAACAAAAACTTCTTCTAGGGTTTGATCAAGAAATGGAGAAATCGAATGGCTCGTCGTGGGAAGAGTTAGCTTTCGCAGAGGATGATGCGGCCGGATCCATGTGGCCGCCGAGATCTTACACGTGTAGCTTTTGCCGGAGAGAATTCCGATCAGCTCAAGCCCTAGGTGGCCATATGAACGTCCATAGAAGAGACAGGGCAAAGCTCAAACAAACGGCCGAGGAAGATGATAGTAATAATGATATTCGTCGATACGTATTGCCATCGTCTCGTAAAGATGACGATCTTCGTGAGGAATCTTGCTACACTCTGGTTTTCAACCCTAACCCTAATCTTTATTACGAGCCTCAACGTTCTTGTGTTATTGATCTTTCTGCTTCATCACCTTACTTGGCTTCTTCTAGGGTTTCGGGTTTACCTCGGAAAGAGGGTTCTTCTTCTTCTTCCTCCTCCTCTTCTTGTTTTCATATAGAACGTTCCAAGAACTCCAAGAAGGTTCTATCCACGTCAGCTGTTTCATTTGGAGAGGATACAAAACGTTACAAACTGTCTGATCAATTCCCGGTGCTGGGAAGGGACAAGAAGAGGAAGATCGAGAGAGATGTGTCGGAAAATGGGTGTAGAACAAAACTTGATATCGTCAAAGACGCCAATCTATCCGTTAGCCTGAACCTGGTGATCCATGGAAGCATACTTCCTGTTGAAGAAGAGAGAGATTCGAGTTGCAAGAGAAGAAGAAGACTTGAAAGTTCACCCCAGCCGTCGATTTCGATTACGGGTTTTTCTTGTAAGAACGACATAGCGATTGCTCGAGACGATGGAACCATACAGAGAGCCAATCCCTTGGAGGATTTAGATCTTGAGCTGAGGCTTGGAGCCGACCCGACAAGAGGTAATTAAATTGATGAGCACTCAATCAATTTCTAGCCAGAAAAAAGGGAAGGGAAGACAACAAAAGACAGTCCATATATTAGCAGTATGGGTCTGATATATGAGCGTGACTTGTATTATTTATCTTGTCGATCGATATATGTAGATTTTGAGGCATTTGTGTGGGCAATTTGTGTGAGAGAAAATAATGGTTGTATTCAGATGAAAAATCCATGAGACCTTCAATATATATATTTTCATCGTGTTATAATCAAGATCTTATTTGTATATTTTTTTTTTTTTGTATCATGACAAATATTCTAATATCATATAAGATCTAATTCTGCAGATATACATATGAATTTAGAAATGCAGAAGCATAAATTTATAAATCCGAAAATTCTCGTTCGGGTTCATCATACGTTATAAGACGACACTGCCCATGTAATCGAATCGGCCTATACCTCGATTTCCCTATTTTGTAGCCACAGTCCAAAAAGTCACATGAAGAAAGAATATTTTCTGCCAAGATCTTGAAAAAGATGGAGAATGAGGAATAATGGTCTTGTGGATCTCAGTTATTCGCTTACTTTAAATATTTTTAAATTTATACTATCATATATATACACACACACACATTAATTTGGAACTAATCTAGCTAATAATGACCGGAAACGATCATATTACGAATTTAATTGACATACTAATAATCAATGGAGATTGGAGACGGTTTAAAAATATAAAACATTATAGATCATATTAGACGGTCGTAAAGCAGTGATTATCGGATGATATCCTTATTGTCTTAAAGAGCAATTGGAAAATGTTTCTCGCTTCACTAAAGGGGTGAAATTAATACCCTCTCGACGAAAATATTTTTTTTTTATAATCAAGAAGTTCACTGCATTTAATCCCCTAAATCCGGAGTCAACTTTTAATCATACAATTAATCGCGTCTCATCTTCTCCACTAGTGGAATCGAATCCAGAATCTCGAAGTGATTTTGTTACATCTCAACCAGTGGACTACCAACTAGTGGATAAAAATAAATTTATATTATTTAAAAGGTTTCAAGATTTATTGTTCCTAAATGTAATTTAAATTCGTAATTAATTACGTTCGAAAATGGTCTTTTTTCGTACTCTTCCGTATTTTCCGAACTTAGAACAAAACCCCCCAAATGTTGCATGTCAAAGTCTTGGAAATTTTATTACTCAAAATTAAACAAAATGACCACTGCATGGTATTGTTGCCCCATGAAATGATTAGGCAACGAAAATTGCATTGGAATTACTGTTTTATTATCATTAGTTGCCATTGGTAACCAAATTATCGTGCAGTCGGTCTTACAAGTTTTTGTTTAATAATGTCAAATAATTGTCGGAACGATATACGGTCTGTTAATATGGTTATATATAATCACCACGTCCATCGGATACATAAATTCCATTTTATTTTGTTATTTTATGCAATAAGCTCGTTGCTCTAGACTCGGTACGTAAATTCTAACACAGGGCACAAAGAGTCAGATATATCCCAACACATATTCCCTTTCTCTGAAACTATAATTATTTAATTAAATCATATATATATACACACATATACATGTGTGTATATATATATATATATCTTCCACATAATAAGTCCAATGGTTACAGTCTCTTCCCTTGCTTTTTTAGGCCAATTGATCACCAACTATTGGACTGTATATAGCGTTTAGAATATTATACGGTTATTAGCACGTATTTTTTAAATTATTATAAATTAAATAAGCATATATGGTTACATGTATCAGCCCTAATTTATATAAAATTTCTTTGGTTCTTTCTGTTGATTAGTTGTAGAGAATGAAAGAATCTTATCGTAATTAATTAACCAGTTAATTTAATATTCTTATGAGCCCTAATCTTAGCCAGTTAATTTATGTATGTATATATATATCTCACGACCTAAAACAATACATGTGTTGAAAGGGGAAAGGGCAAATTAAAAATGTTTATACAGTTTTATTTTCCTAATTCATGTTTCATTTATCCAAAAGAGAATTGTACAGAAGAGTGTACCATGCATGCATGTACGCACGCATGTATGTATGTATGTAGTGAAAACTGATGTAACCTGTTTATTTTAACAGTTACATGATTAATTAAAATCTGACAATATTCTCACAGACAGAAAGATAAATTATAAATTTCAGAGTGTGAAGAGAATTTTTGTTTGGATTATAACATACTGTTCTCACGGAATTTGGAATTATTCCGAAATAATAAAGTATCCGGGAGTAATAATTTATCGAAGAAGAATGAAAATTCTATTATAAATTCTGTAGTCACATAGATATTTTTATGAATAATAAAAAACCCTAAAAAAATATGACATTTTCGATTGAAGGATATGAAATAATTTTTGTATTCTGATTTAAATTTATGCCGAATTATAATTTTTTTTGGCGAAATGAATTAGCATTCAATTAAAAAACATCCGAGAAATCGTCGGTGTCTTTAATTATTTTTAGACACCATATATGTTACACACTGTCCTGCCCACATATATATATATATATATATATATATATATAATCATTTCGGCTACGTAACTATATATAATATTAATACATAAAATTTCAAACGAGCCGATGATGCCATGGTCGGTGTAACCTCACCGATCACATCAGTCTTCACTTTGCTCTTATTCATTAATTTCAAAGCCCGCCCTTACATGAAATGAAAGCGATAGAAAAGTTTTGAATTGAGTAAAAACACCATGTCGTTTTTACTTCCAACGAGAAAACTGCGTGACGTCTTTGAGTAGATCCATTAGTTTGGGTGGAGGTCCACGAGTTAGCCCAATCCCATTCTTAGTGGACCAAACTAGGCCTAGTTTTTTACTGTACGGATAATAAAGGCCCACGGGCCTTATCTTGGTTTTTATAAATATTTTTTGTAATAAGATTATTTAACTTTAATATATTTTTTTTTTCATTTTTTTACAGTAGTATTAGGAAGATAAAACAACACAAAAATTCGTGTTTTTATATATTTTTATAATAGATTTAAAATATTCACGGACCCGTCAACTTGTAAAGACTGTCGAATAAAACAATTGGATATAAATAAAATAAGTTTCACTTTTCATATGTGCATGTGTTTTTTCTTTTTTCTTTGTATTATATTATGTGCTTTGAATCATTGGAGTCTCCAATTTGGAAAATAAAAAAAGATTTATAATCACGCTAAAATAGTCAAAAAACAACAAACCGAAGTAATTTGGCTTTGACGTTATTGATCTTTCGCCTCTTGTCATTTTCAAGTCTCCCCCACGGAGGTAAAAAATTTAATTAACTTTTTATTATTATTGTATATTAACCTTTTGTGTTACTAGCTCCTTAGACATTAAATATTATTTTTCAGAAAACCTCAAATCATATAATATTAAATTTAATTGAAATAACTCTATACACTAAGTTTTTATTAGTTGGAGGGGAAGGATAAAAATCGTTTATTTTATTAAAAAATTAAAAAAAATATCTACAAAATTATCAAAACATTTTACTAAAATTAATTGAAAAAAAATAAATATAGAAACACAGGCTTTGTCCATGTCAGTTTAGTAGGAACAAAATTTTTGTTTAGAAATAATTATATTCTTATATAATTAATTGATTTAATACACTTAATAGTCTTAGAAAACTCCCATAATTCATATAAGTCGTTGAAAAGCATTTGACAAATTGGTCAAATGGAATGTTGGTTGGTGGTTGGTGCCAATAACACTATCTATCATGGCATGGAAATATATTCAGATTTAAATTAAAGTTTTCGTGTTCTTACCACTAGTACCGTTAATTTCCGTTAGAGCCCAAAAAAACAAAACAAAATAATTAAAGGAATCATTCTCATCATCCTTAGATTTGTACCACGTGGTAAGAAATTTTATTTTTGTCCTAATGATGCTATACGTACGAATTTATTCACGTTTGTCATAGTCATCATACATATTAACCATAGGGTTTGATTTGATAATTTGGACCATGTGACTAATCATTGAAATTCCTTTAAAGAAATCGAAAGACCCTTGTGAATTTTTTTTCTTTCTCAAGAGGTTAAAATTGGGCACAGTCCAAAGGTTTCTTACACTGTAAAAAAAAAATCATACATTCGTGTGTTATTTTTTAATACACAATAACATCACTTTAATCCTAAATTTATTTAACCATATAGATTTATAGATTTATAATATAAAATAGATGTAAATATTTGGTTTTGGATATATAAAAATTGAACCACATCTCCACAGCATAAAAACACACCTATTTAAATTGTGTTAATTTTATTAAATTAAATAAAAATAGATTGAATTCGAATTAAATAAAACTTAAAAAATAAATCTCTGTATAAGATAAATATTTCCAACTGAACAAATAAATTGGTACAATTTCTTTTTAAAAAAACTTCAGAAGAATCAAAGTAAAACATAATCATAACATCTATGAATGGTAGTTGGAATGCTATCATTTGATCCCAATTAATGTTTATAAATTGTCTGAATAATTTATATGGATTAATCGTCATCGGATAATATTGTTATGACATCAATGCTAGACCAAGACGTTGTTTCAATTTAACTATTAATTTTTTTTCTGATAAAGTTTAAACCAAACATATGGTCATATTGTAATGTCTAATCTGTCACTCTTGTCCGTATATAATAAATTAACAAAAGTGAGAAAATTAAATTCAATTCGTAGTGCTCTCTCTCTCTCTCTTTCCCACTGTCACAAAGCCATCACCAAAGTCTTCTTCATCTTCTTCACAGATTCACAGAAAAAAAAAACACATTTAAGTGAGTTTCGTTATGTAAGGACCATTTCATCGACCATGAAAATCGATATTTTCTCGAATTTATTCCAAATAATATTCATTTTCCATTTCTTATTTGTCATCTCACCGTCTTCTCAGTCTACAACGGAGCTCTTCTTCGAGGGCTTCAAGAACGCAGATCCCAGCAACCTGACGTTAAGCGGTGTCGCCGAGATCCAACCCAACGGTTTACTCCGGCTAACCAACCAAACCAGCCGGTTGCTCGGCCACTGCTTCTACTCTTCCCCAATCCAGTTCAAGAACCACAGAAACGGTGCCGTTTTCTCCTTCTCCACCACGTTCGCCTTCGCCGTCGTCCCTCAGTTCCCCACCCTCGGCGGTCACGGCCTCTCCTTCGCCGTCTCTCCCGCGGCCGACCTCCCCGGAGCTACACCGTCGAACTATCTTGGCCTCTTCAATTCCTCCACCGACGGTAACTTCACGAACCACCTCTTAGCCGTCGAGTTCGACACGGTTCAAGACTTCCTGTTTCAGGACATCAACGATAACCATGTCGGGATCGATATCAACAGCGTCGTCTCCGATAAATCTGTCTTCGCCGGTTACTTCGACGACGAACACAACCACACGTGGCGAAACATCAGCCTCCAGGACGGGAAACCCGTTTTCGCCTGGATCGATTACGATTCTGGTACGAATCTCTTGAACGTCACTCTTTCTACGAATTCCAGAAAACCCAGATCTCCGATTTTGTCGTATCGTATAAATCTTGCCCCGATTCTTCACGACAAGATGTATGTCGGGTTCGCAGCTTCGACGGGCTTGCTCGCGAGCTCGCACTACGTAATGGGTTGGAGTTTTAAGATCAATGGGGAAGCTAAAAATCTCGATTTATCATCTCTCCCGTCGATCACTGGCTCGAAGAAGAACAGCACCGGTCTGATTGTCGGAGTTTCGGCATCTGCTACTGTTCTCGCTATATCCGCCGTGATTGCATCGGTCGCTCTGTTTCTGAGATTCAAAAACAGAGATGTGATCGAGGATTGGGAGTTTGAGATCGGTCCCCATCGGTATTCATACACCGAGCTGAAGAAAGCGACAAGAAATTTCAGCGAATCGGAGCTCCTGGGTCGAGGCGGGTTCGGGCAGGTTTTCAGAGGAACACTGCCGGGTTCGAACATCCGAGTCGCCGTGAAGCGAGTTTCGCACGAGTCAAAACAAGGTCTCCGCGAATTCGTGTCAGAGATCGCGAGTATCGGTCGGTTACGTCACCGGAATCTCGCCCAGCTCCTCGGATGGTGTCGGAGACGAGGCGATCTTCTCCTCGTCTACGAGTTCATGCCTCACGGATCGCTCGACAAATTTCTGTTCAATGAGAGACCCCAGATCGAACTGAGTTGGGATCAACGGTTCAAGATCATCAAAGACGTTGCTTCTGCTCTTTTCTATCTCCACGAAGGATACGAACAGGTTGTTCTTCATAGAGACGTCAAGGCGAGTAACGTTTTGTTAGACGGTGACCTAACCGGCCGGTTAGGGGATTTCGGTTTAGCGAGATTATACGATCACGGTACTAACCCAGGTACAACCCGGGTTGTCGGTACGCTCGGTTATCTCGCCCCGGAGGTTCCCCGAACTGGGAAATTTACTACCAGCTCAGACGTATATGCTTTCGGTATGCTGCTTTTAGAAGTTGTGACCGGGCGTAGACCAATTGAGATGAAAACCGGACCGGATGATTTGGTATTGGCGGATTGGGTTTGGGACCGGTTTAAAACCGGGCGAGTTGCAGAAATCGTTGATCCGAAATTGGGGAACCGGTACGACGAGAGCGAGGTTTTGCTTGTGGTTAAGCTCGGTTTGATGTGTTCGGACAATGTACCGACCTCTAGACCGACTATGAGACAAGCGGTTCGGTATTTACGCCGAGAAATCGATACTCCGCGGAATTTGGATAACCCAGAGCATACGTACGGAGAATCTAAGGCTAACATTAACAGATTTGATGGTTTCGAAGGCTTTTACGGATCGACGTCGTTTGGTCAGAGCAATTCCCGGCATCGGTATAGTTATACCGGGACCGGTTTTGCGAGTTCGGATTCTATTTCTACATCTCCGGTTTCTCTTCTACGGGAAACAATGTAGATTTGGAAAAAAGGTGACAACTTGCTGCGAGTGGAGCACTACCATTTTTTTAAAATATGATTTCTTTGGAGAAAATTATTGGTCTAACAATCAAAAGATCCGAGGAATATATCGAAGTCTTCTTTGTTCCTTATTCGTCATTGCCTTTTTTTATTTAAAAAAATAAATAAATTATCCGTATGTTTAATTCACTGGAACAATTACCAAGAAAGACCTAAACATTTACAAGATTTATAGGGAAAAAAGTAATTATAAAAAAAACAAATAGACAGATCCCTGAGGAATTTGAAAGTTATTATTTTTAATGCAATAGGATTATAATAAAGAAATATTCTATCATACCATAAAAATCTTCAAACTTTTTTTAATCATAACTAAAAATTTGTACTTCAGATTTTTAAATTTATCATAATTTACTTCAAATTATATTTATACTTGTTTTATATTAAATTGATGTACATTTTATTTATCCCAATTATATTTACAATTCATTTTATCAATTTCCGTGTTGGTAATATTTGAACAAAATTATTTTTTAAAAATTAAATAAAAATAGATTTTGTTACAATTATGATCTAGTTCAAGTAAACCAAATTATACGATTTTTTTGATTAATATTGCATAATATTGATTTGTTTGTATCATAATCTTATCTGAATGATAAATTCTAAATTCAAATATTTCAAACAAAAGGTAAGGTCTTTATTCGATCTAAATTTCGAAATCATATTACCAAATCAGAAGGTTCGAAAAATTATTAATTTAGATTTCAAGTTTTTTTTAGGAAAAAATATTGGAGGGTTTTCTATGATTTTGGATATTGAAACAGAATAATCATATTCTCTAGAAAAAGAAAAACTATAATTGATGTATTCTCGTATCTATAACTCGAATCAATACATGGAGATGGTTTATTAATAATTGAAATCAATCATATACATATTCTGTTCACAAATTTAGGTCAAAAGATTATATTCGAAACTTGAAAACGACGTAGCATTATCTGTTGGACTTCAATCTTGGTTGACCGTTGACCGAATCTTTTTAATATATTATTTTTTCACGCAGTCAACAAAGCAATTATGGGCCACAATATGGACCTCGTATTGAGGCCCATTTAGGGCCTACGCAAACCAACCTACGGTCCAATAAAACCATAATTTCACGATATTATATTTGACATGTAGCCTCTCTTTATACACAGAATTCACCAGTAATAGCAAATATAAAATTCAATATAACTGGTCTAACTTTATATATTGTATGTATAAAATTTGTATATACGCCTGGTATGCAATTTTATCGATATTGTTTCTTACTTCGAAGGTAATAAAACAGATACAAAGATAATTGCCGAGATCATATGAATATTTATATATTTTATTTATGTATTTTGCAGATGGTGGACCACTATAGTATAGTATGGACCAACAGACCAGGTTTCTGAAGGATTTTATAATCACTAAATTTAATAAAAAATAGAGAAAATTAATTATCATTGTTAGTAGAAAAAACGCTGGTACATGACCATATAATAATAAGGGCGAGTGTTAATACAATTACTAAAATGCCCCTACTATTTCAAAGGAAAAGGGTTTTGTAACCTTCACACCGGGATATTACAGAAATGCCTTTAAATGGCACTAGGCACTTCAAGTAGTATCCTTGAGATTTTAGGGTTTTCAAAAAAAATTGAAAAATGCTGAAAAGACATTATCACCCTTAATGAATAGGCCACGTGTCAAGTTCAGAATGAAGAACTTATGAAGAAAGAGAAAAAAGAAGGAAATTATAAAAAAGGACACATGTCAAAATCTGGATGGATGAAAAAAAGGAAGGAGAAATAAACTTTTTTTTAAAACTCTCCAGCTTCTTCTTCATTTTCTTCTGCAATTTCTTCTTCGGTAAATTTTTTTTCTACATTTTCTCTCTAATGGTACGATTTATTTGGTGATTTTTTGTGCGATTTCTTCTTGTAAAACCGTTTTCACTTCAAAATAACTTCGTCTTCATTGTTTCCGACTCCTTTTGCGTATTCATTTGAATTCACCAAGAAAAGTGGATATTTTTTTAGAATCTTATGTGTGTGCATCTAGATAAACAATAAAAGAAAATAAAACAAGTCAAATTGATCATATTATTCGAGTTGTATAGATAAAAAAATAGGATTTCAGTTAGAAAATGATAAACAATATTTTTCACAGAAGACGAGTCATATGGAAGAAGTTAAATGGTTATACTAGTCGCACTTGAATGGTGTGACCAGTTTGACTAGTCTGATAAATCTGGTTAAATGGATCACATCAAATGCTCATATCAGTGAAGTGGTCACACCCTTCAACTGGTTATTCTAGTGAAATGGGCACACAGTTAGACTAATCAAACTGGTCAAGAAGTTAAGTGGTCATACTAATAATATTGGTCGACTTGAATTGTGTGATTAGTTTGACTAATATGATATAAGTGGTCAAAAGGGTCATATTAGTGAAATGGTCATATGATCACATTAGTAAAACTGGTTAAAAAGTTATGTGGTCATACTAGTTACACTGATCGCATTTGAAGGGCATAACCAGTTTGACGAGTTTGACTAGTGTGATAAAATTAGTCAAACTAGTCACACTAGTCAAACAAAACTAACAATGAGTGTTTAATTTATTTTTGTAGGTTCTATTTGTATATGATTTAAAGAACATTTATCAGTCTCTCAGTGATACTCTTTTCAATAAATTATACTGAATCATGTTTACTCTACTAGTATAATTTTAATCATATATATTTAATTGGGTCAAAACTTTATACACCAAATTGAACCTTCAACACTTAATTTAGATCAACTTTTTTTTTTTCATAAATCATCGCATCGTTAAACTCGTCGCACCGTCAGACCTATCAAACCGGACATACCATATTGAATTTTGCGATTTTATCACTTTCAAACTGTAAACATATTGATAATCACCCCATATAATAAGTATCTTAAGTTAAAAATAATCATATCTCTCTAATTTTAACGCATTTATCTTTTTGCAATGCATGTTCTCTCAAAAAAACTATTTACACCATGTTTGAAAGTGACAATGCATATTTAACACATTTTATCTAAGTTACAAATAACACATTTCAAACTATAAACATTTTATCTTTTGTAATATATTGATACAGGGTAGAAGATATTTTTTCCACTTGAATTATAATTAACAAAAAATAACAACTTTCATAAATAACAAATAATCGTAACTCTCTAAATTTAGCACCTTATTTTTTTTACTATCCATGTTCTCTCAAATGAAACCCCAAAGTTCTAGTACACTTTTTGTAACATATTGGCTTAGGGTAGAATATATTATTTTCTCTCATGATTTACGAATAACAAAAACACGTTAAATATGACATAATAGCTCTTATATACCACGTTGAACCTTAGAAATTTAATTTAGAACATCATTTGACCAGTTTGACTCGTCGCACCATCAAACTCGTCACACCGTCAAACTCGTCAAACTCGTCGCACCCTCACAAATTTCGCAAATTTATCATTTTTACACTATGAACATGTTAATAAACACTTTGTATAACAACTTTCATAAATAACAAATAATCGTAACTCTCTAAATTTAGCACCTTATTTTTTTTACTATCCATGTTCTCCCAAATAAAACCCCAAAGTTCTAGTACACTTTTTGTAACACATTGGCTTAGGGTAGAATATATTATTTTCTCTCATGATTTACGAATAACAAAAACACGTTAAATACGTCATAATAGCTCTTATATACCACGTTGAACCTTAGAAAATTAATTTAGAATATCATTTGACCAGTTTGACTCGTCGCACCGTCAAACTCATCACACCGTCAACCTCGTCAAACTCGTCGCACCCTCACGAATTTCGAAAATTTATTAATTTTCACACTATGAACATGTTAATAAACAACCCGTATAACAACTTTCATAAATAAAAAATAATCGCAACTTTCTAAATTTAGCACCTTATTTTTTTTACTATCCATGTTCTGTCAAATGAAACCCCAAAGTTCTAGTACACTTTTTGTAACACATTAGCTTAGGGTAGAATATATTATTTTCTCTCATGATTTACGAATAACAAAAATACGTTAAATACGTCATAATAGCCTTTATATACCACGTTGAACTTTAGAAATTTAATTTAGAACATCATTTGATCAATTTGACTCGTCGCACCGTCAAACTCGTCGCACCCAAAAGCCAAAACTCCAAACAAGTGTGGCTAAACCCGAAACCCCAAACGAGTGTGACTAGTTTGACGATTCTTACGAGTATGACCGTTTCGAAGGGTTTTACTAGTTTAACTGACTTTGTGGTAGATTATTTGACCACGATTCATTCATGGAACTTTATGATCAATTTAATTGGTGTGGATCATGGTAATGTTGATTTTAACTCGTTTATATCTATATAATACGATATTATATTGATATATGTTTCGTTTTTTTTTCATTTATATCATATAAATCAAATATAAATATAAAAGCAAAATAAACCCTAAATGTCCAAAATAAAAAAATAAATTTTAGAATGAAAATGTATCCATTATCGAGATTATTGCTTATTAGATGAAAATTTTAGAGATTTCTTTTATTTTTTCTAATTAATTAACCAAAAAATCATGTGAAAGAATAAAAATTTGAAGAGAGAGATAGCTTAACTGGAGAAAGAAAACGTAACAGAGGAGAGAGAAATAAAAGAAGGAGAGAACCAAAGAGAGGAAAGAGAGAACCAGAGAGAAGAGAGAGAAATAGAAAAAACTTATTTATATAATTATATTAAATGAAAAAGTAGAGGGTACTATAGGAAATGTATATTTATAAAGGTATTTATGATAGTGTCATTTTTTTTTCTTTTATGTGAGGGTATAGCTTGAAGTCCAATGTATCATTTAAGGTATTTTTGCAATTGCCCCCCTTCACACTCACCCCCCCCATCATTTCATTTCTGCCCAGCCTTGATACTTCGGCTTCTCTCTCCGACGTCACCAAATCGCCGTTACCCCTCCCGTTTCCGCCGGAATTCTCATTCTCCGTCGTTTTCCGAGGTAAGCATTTGTGTTTCCGTCGATTTCCGTTCGTGCTTCTGTTCCGTCTCTAAAACTTCGATCTGCGTCTCTCTCTCTTTGCTTCTCTTCAAGGTTAGTTTCGTCGACTTCTCTCGGCTTCCTTTTCTTTGAGTTCCCTGTGTTGTCCTCTCCGGTGCCACTAAAATATCTCAGAACCTGGCCCCTGTTTCTCAGCGTGGTTAGTTTATAGTTTTGTTTACGCCATTATGCTCTTAGAGAATATCCAGATCTAGCTTGGAAATTGAATTTCCATCTGGATCCCGTCTGAAAACTCCCTTTCCGTCTTCGCTTCTTCTCTAGCACGCTGTTATTCTCTGCTAGAATCTGATGTCTAGGCTTCTCCGCAATATAATTTAATTTTTCAGTAACGCCCAAACATAGCCAAATTTGTGGAAACCTTCATAAACCCATGTACCATGGGCCTGATTTAAAACCAAAAACCGACTAGCCACCGTCTGGATTGTATTCTGGACATAAAGCTTCTCATGAAAGGGTGGAATCTCTGTGTTAAGTTATGCTTATTGATGTGATCCTATTGTTTGTGTTTATGCTTTGAATTTTTTTTTGAAAATATGCACTTTTGTGTCTGTTTTTGGTAAAAATGGAATCGATGTAGAGGTGGGATTCTGATGAGTTTAGATGTTTTTTTAATGCTTGTCAAACCCTTTATTTCTGTCCAAAGCTCTCCACCCTTGGCACTTCCAACCCTGCTTTTCTTTTGTGTTCTGTGGGCTGTGTTTGTCTTTCTGGTAGGGATACTGCTCAAAGTGGTTTCTCTCCACATGATTTTGTTATAGGGATTGTTCATTTTCTTCCAATCACTGCACCTGTAGACAAATCCAACAATGCCTACTGTCAGCGTTGGCAGAGACCGCTTGTTTGCTGCCCTTGGACAATCCTACAGTAATCTCTTCCTCGTTCAAACTAGTTGTTTTCTTATCGTCTTTGAATCACAGTGTGTTGTTGTTTGTCTAATTCTGGTTCAATTGCAGCGCAAGAAGAGTTTGAGGATCTATGTTTCCGCTTTGGGATTGAGCTTGATGATGTGGTGAGTGGAATTTGGCTTATTTTGTTGTATCCTCATCAATGTCTCATTGGTTTTTGTTTCATTCTGATTAGTTGTTCGCATGTATAATGGCCAGACGACTGAGAAGGCAATAATCAGGAAGGAGAAGCACCTTGAAGAAGAAGCTGATGATGATGAAGAAACCATCTACAAGATTGAAGTGCCTGCTAACCGGTGACTTTCAAAACGACTTGGGATATAAGTGAACTGTTCTTGATAGCTTCTTTGTGGTTTTCGGGTCTCCATGAAATTTTCTTTGGGGTTACTACATTCTGTGGCGGGTTGATTTGTCTTATTAATGTCAGTAACAGATGGGTGGTAGTTGTAAGGATGGAAATGGATTAATGATCTGATTTAGTATTTGTTTGTGTTTTTTTGCAGATACGATTTGCTCTGTCTCGAAGGGCTTGCCCAAGCCCTTCGCATTTTCAATGGGAAACAAGATATACCTGCTTACAAGTTTGCTAATGTTGGCAAGGACCTGATGCTTAAAATGCGTGTCCAGCCAGAGGTGTTTATCTTGAGCATATAAACCGCAATTTTCTTTCTCTTCATTTGGTTTTACTTTTGGTTGCTGTGTCAGCTAACCTCTACTTTCCTTTCACAGACATCTCAAATACGGTCTTTTGTTGTCTGTGCTGTTTTGAGAGGCTTAACCTTTGACGAGGCTCGTTACAACAGCTTTATTGATCTTCAGGACAAGCTACATCAGAATATTTGCCGGTAGAATGACATGACTATTTGCATAAGATCCACTTTTCTCTCTTGCGCCACTCCGTCATTATAGCTATAATCGTGATTGCTTGTTGTAGCATTAAGTTCCTATATTTTCTCTTGTCTTCTGTTGGTGGACCCCCCCCCAAGGCATTTGTTTTTTTATCTGTGGCCATTTGAAAGGTTTCTTTGTTGTTTTGCAAATGATTGATATTACGTCACCCACTTATTTCAGCCGAAGAACATTGGTTGCTATAGGAACTCATGACCTGGATACATTACAGGGCCCGTTCACGTATGAGGTTAATCTATTTTCCTCTTTTGTTTGGATCCTCATTTCGTACTTCTGTTCTCGCTATTCATATTTATTTTGTTGTATGCTATTTTGTTTTTGGTCTCACTGCATTAGGTAGAATGTTTATCATTATTTGTCATTTGTGTCTTTTGAATTACCCCGACACTTCTTTTAGATGGGCATGTGTGTTGTCAGTGATATGTGTTCTGTTTCTTTGTCTCAGGCTTTGCCGCCGGCAGAAATAAATTTTGTGCCTTTGAAGCAAGTAAGTCGATTTCCTTTTTCAACTAGCATTCGTCATTCAAACCAGTTTCATGAGTCTGGTTTGACTGTCCCACTGAACATCTATGGTTCTCTTCTTTCATCTCGCATAACCAAGCGCTAGAAACAATCAATATAGGATGTGTTTTTATGTTTTTATATCATGATGTTTGGTTCTTAGTTTTCTGCTACCTTTTGTTGCTTATTCGTCTAGTATTAAATTCTTGTTTATTTAATGTACATACTTAATACCATTTTGTTGTTTGGGCAGACAAAGAGCTTCAGGGCTGACGAATTGATGGAATTTTACAAGGTGAGTGGGTCATGAATGGGTGGAGAAGGGTTTTTTAGCTTAAACAAATGGAAAAGCCTCGATGGAAATGTTCCTTGGAAGCTTGTTAGACTACGGCCTATGGGTCATAAAAAGGACTTTTGCAGAGTAATCTTATATATTGCTTTTGCAATCTTATGAATAACATTTGCTTCAACATGTATTCTCTTAATTGTTTCATAGGGGATATCCTTGATATCTCGATGAATTATCCCCTCGTCTAACGTGTATTATTTCTATACACACTTTGCAGTCAGATCTCAAGTTGAAAAAGTATCTACACATAATCGAGAACTCCCCTGTCTTCCCTGTTTTGTATGATAGTAAAAGGTATTTTTGGTTCTTCCAAGTGCCACTATTTTAATATCAGGTTGATTTGCAGCAGATTGTGGTTAATTGTATTACGATGAATACTTTCCTTCTTTGTCCCATATGCATATGTACTGAAGATTCACTTTTACAGGACTGTGCTATCTTTGCCCCCTATCATCAACGGTGCTCATTCAGCGATCACTCTTCAGACAAAGAATGTCTTCATCGAGTGTACGGCAACTGATTTGACGAAGGCCAAGATTGTTTTGAATACAATGGTAGGCAGTAAGGAACGCAGAACTCTTGTGCCCAAGTGTTTAGCTTTTAACTAATCACTCTGTATTCCAGGTTACGGCATTTTCAGGATATTGCGAGACAAAATTCGAGATTGAACCTGTCGAAGTTATATATGATGATGGAAAATCACAAATTTATCCCGATTTATCAGTGTACGATATGGAAGTTCCTCTCTCTTATATAACAGACTTGATAGGAGTATCTTTGGAGGCAGAAGAGGTAACAACAGCATCATTATTGTCATTATTCATTAATATCTAGGTCTCGTGTTTTCTGGTCGTAATAACTCTCAACAATTATACTTAGGAGCTATACTATTCTGATTATTTGTTATTTCCTTTGGTAAATATTTGCATAAGGTTTGATATGACTTTTCTACACTCCAGGTCACAAGTTTGCTGAACGTCGACAGTT